CCGAGAGGAGCAGGGTCCCGTCTGAGAGCGACGAGTTCAGCTCCTTCCTCTACTGGCGAGCACCCCTGCCCAGCATCGAGGAGGAGCTGCAGGAACTCCTGGTGAGACCTGGAGCCTCCCCTCCCCTCGCTGTCCTTCCTACCCTGGTTTCTGCCCGGAGCGTGGCGTGTGCCATAGCTGACCCTCTCCTTCCCACAGAAAGCTCAAGCCATCTCCGTTAGCCCAGAGACCACTGAGGAGCACCAGAGCCCTGAGGATGGGGCCAGTGCTGAGGAAGAAGAGGACGAGGAGGAGAGCGATGATGAAGGCTGGATAACACCCAGCAACCTCAAGCAGGTGCAGCAGGATGCAGGTCACTGTGACACTGCTCCCGTCGGCGTCCAGGTTGGCTGCGTCACCACTGACTTCGCCATGCAGGTGGGTGCTGGCTGCTGCCCTGCACAGGGGCTGGTGCGGTGGGCTCAGGGCACTTCTCACATTACTCAAACCTCCGGGCAGTTACACCAGCACACCGAGAGAGGAGCACGTCCCCTGGATGGGACGAGAGCGGCTTTGCGACAGTTCCTTTTGTCTTAGAACAGCCGGTTCTCTGCGGCGCAGAGGCCTCTTGTGAAGCCGTTGGGGGTGCCGCCCTCAGCCTCGGCTGGCAAACCCCAGCTAAAGTCCCCAGCGGTCCCAGCTCACGGCAGCCCGCTTTCTCCCTCCTCGTTGCAGAACGTGCTGCTGCAGATGGGCCTCCACGTGCTGGCAGTGAACGGCATGCTGATCCGCCAGGCCAGGAGCTACATCCTCCGCTGCCACGGCTGCTTCAAGTGAGCACGCGTGTGCGGGGCGGTGCCGCCCTCGGCGCAGGCATGGGGCTGTGCGGGCGATCCTGTGTTCCGTGACCCCCCTCTGTGCCTGTCTTGCAGGACCACGTCGGACATGACCAAGGTTTTCTGCCCCCACTGCGGTAACAAGACCCTGAAGAAGGTCGCAGTGAGTGTCAGCGATGACGGGAGCCTCCACATGCACTTTTCCCGCAACCCCAAGGTGCTGAACCCCCGAGGGCTCAGGGTGAGTCGTGCCACGGGCCGGGCGGTGCTGCTGGGCCAAGGGCCTGGCCTGCGGTGGTGGGTCAGAAGGAATCGAAGTGAAGCTGCCCTCCTCCTCCAGATGTTCTGCCTGACCCAGGGCTTTCGGGCTTCGTTCGAGCTTTCGGGCTCAGCTCCCCTCTAGAGGCCTGCCTCGCCTTT